TTTTGAGCTCGAAATATAAAAGAGCCGAACACAAGCAGAGCTTGAGTTCACTCATGTTCAGCTTGTTTACGCCCCTAGAAATGCCAGACAGCTTCACACAGCACATAAATGACAGATAACCAACCAGAATTGAACCTTCTATATATACAAAAACAAGTCCGGTCCCTAAATACTTCTAATAATATTACTCCCAAGATGCAAATAGCATTAAACATGAGCAAAAGATACGGGGATATCAAGCAATATCTAATATATAATCTACAATAACGCAGCTGAACGAACCAGAGAATTAGCTAAACTGCGAGTCAACGGGAGTCAAACCGTTACGATCTAAATGGGATTACGTCGCAATCACCGATCAATCCTTCGAGCTCCGTCATGAAATCAGCATCAGATGGTCCGGCTGTTTCGTTTCGATCGTCGGCGGGCAGCAACTGCAGCAAAATCAAGTGTTGGTGAGCTCCTAAAACTGAAACTTATTGAGCTGAAGTTAGAAATAGAATACATTTACATTTATACCGCCTAAATTACTCCTCAAAAATACCATCATTTTAATTTTTTAAAATTGAAGTTCAGGTGTCATTATGTGAATACATAAGAATTGAGTGGTGTGTATGTAAATCTTTTAGGTGTCATTATGTGGATGCCTGAGAATTGAGTGGTGTGTATGTAAATCTTCCAAACATAGAACTGGATGAAGAGAGAATATACCTTAGATTCTTGAAGTTGTGTGACCACGGTTACAAGTCTCCTATACTGATCTCGTGCCTCAGGATACTGAACCATAGACTTCACCCTCGCGAGAGCTTTCTCCATTCTCACCTCGGTCTGTCTCCTGCCCTCTCGCAGGAAATCATCGTCGTCTTCCTTCTTGGGTATGGTTTGATCCTTTGGGCCCTCTATTAGCCCTTCGGGTCGAAAGCCGCGTAATCCGCTCCCTTTTCTCCTCCATCGTAATATGACTTTCTCGACGATGCCGACGGACCAGATGATCTTCTTGTAGTGTTTCCTCACTTGGTGGCCGCGGACATGGGCCTGCTCAGCGATTAAATTTTAACTAGTAAGAAGGAGAAGGATGGTTTGATAGCACCTAATATTCACTATTTTAAATGAAATTGAAAAATTAAAAATAAAACAAAAAAATACATCAAATGAAAATTTCATTGACCTTTGTACTAGTAGTGAAGAAAATGTCGCATAATGCAAATCATGAAATCATTTTGAAAGCCAAGATCTCATTTATGTTTCATACCAAATCATATAGGTTTTGCTCTGGTAACAATACTTCATTTACACAAAATAGTAATAATAATAAACAATTATTAATTTTGTTTCCGAAAATTCAATTTTTTTTGTGATTAGATCTATTGTGCCTTCTCATTGAATTTATGCAAGTTATTGATCCAATTACATATAATTGAAATTATTTAAAAGGAAATTTACATACCTAGCAAACAATTCTTATGTATTTACACATATATCACACCTAAACTTTCATATTTAGAAACATAGCACTCCGGTTTTTTAAACATTAACATGAAAAGATGTATATCACTTTAAAAAAGTGGTAATGGTGCTATTTTTTATGTGATATTAAAGGTTTGAGTGCTATAGTGTAAATATGAAATTTTAGGTGTGAGATATGTAAATACATCAGAATGTAAATGCCCCTAAAACTAATAATAAAAGACAGCTCCTATGAAAACTTTTTTGTAAATTAGATCTATTGTATCTTTCATTGATTTATTACAAGTTATCAATCCGATTACACCTCCGATAAGTGTAGAAATATAATTCTTATCATCATGAATGAAATTATTTAAGATCATAGTTAGAAAGATGCAGTTTAAATTATATCATTTTGTTATTTGGTTGAGTTGCCTGGTTGTTATGCCCTTGAGTGTGTGGTTTTTTATGACAGAACTATTATTAGATGCACAAAATCACATAATGAAATAATGAAGATGAAGATCAAAAGCGCAATGAGAATTAATCAAGATGAAAATTTTGATGGTTTTCAACTAGAAATAGCACAGCAATTCAAAACCATGAAAGTCATGTTCAGTTATTTGAAGTCTGCATCTCGGCGGGCGGGGGTTTTCATGATTCAGTTATTGTTCAAACTACAAATATGAACAAATAACCCAAAACCCCCATAGATTCAAGGGGCATTTACATACATAGCACCCAATTCTCATTTATTTACATATCTAACACATAAATTTTGCATTTTTCACTTATAACATCCAAATCTTTCATATCACATAAAAACCACTACAATTTTAAATTTAAAAAAAGTGAAAAACACCTTTTCATGCATAGGACTGGTAGCATATATGTAAAAATTGAAGTTAGGTGTTAGATATGTAAATACATCGATGAATTAAGTGGTAAGTATGTAAATCTTCCAAGATTTAAAGAAAATAAATTTACTACCATAACGAAGGAAATAATACATATAACACACCTGGATTTTCACAATCCGCTGCCGAGTAATCAAAAACTCCTTCCTCCCTTTCCATCCTCGAAATTTGTTCTGTATTTTAATTGCCGCAGCGTGAAAAGGCATATTGTGTTGCTCTGATTTATAAGGCTTTACAGAAATTAGTGAGAGAGCACGGTCCTCAGACATCCCAAATTTTTCGTCACTCTGCTTGATGATTTGCTTTCTGTTGAAAGACTGCACTCTAAAAACCTGAAATATTCGTGCAGCAGCTTCAGTTGCGTTACGAACGGCACGAAGTGAAGTTTGTATCTCTCCATCTGTAAGATTAGCATTAATCCTATCTGGAAGGTTTTCGAAGCCCAATAAACTGTCAGGTTTAGACAAATTATGCTTTTCGGTGCCTTTCAAATTCAATGCTCGAAGATGGTTAGTCAGAGAGGACTCAGCCAGAAAACCCGCAATCCCCTTGTGACCATTCCGAGAGGCTAAATCTGCGGGAGTTCTTCCGGTAGGGAACTCAGGGGTTGGATCTGTTAGTGCTCCAGGGGACGCATCTAATGCGATAAGAGTGACGACCGTCCTCTCTCTGCAAGGCACAAATAAGAAATCAGAAAGGCACAAGACCACTAGAACTTATAAGACAAATCAAAAGAAAATGTTAAGTCTTGTTGATGATCTCTTTTATCTGGGGAAATTTACATACATACCACACAATTCTTATGTATTTACATATCTAACACTCAAATTTTGATATTTACATTTATAACACATTGGTGTCTTAAACCTATGCATGAAAATGTGTTATTTCACTTATAAAAAGGCCGCGTGGAGGTAAATTTAATGTGATGTTAAAGATTTGAGTGGTATGCATGTACATATGAATGTTCTGTTAGGTATTTAAATATATAAGAATTGTGTGGTGTGTGCGTAAATGCCCGTTCTACTTTTTATTTTTTATTTTTGTTTTTACTTTTATTTAAAAAAAAAATATTTGTTTAGCGCAATTTTTTCATGTATTTAATTTTTGTTTTCAAACATAAGTTAGCTAGCTTTTAGAAATACTCAAAATATCTGAACCTTATTTTAGGTGCTTTTAAAAATAAATGGACATGTTATGACATACCAAACATATTTTATTTCAATTAAAAACAGAAAATAAAAAAACAAAAAAAAAAAAAATCAAAAGAAATCCTAGTAGTCACTTAGGCCCCGTTTGGGATCCCTTTTGTATTTTGTTTTGTTTTTTTTTTAATGTTTTGATTTGAGTTAAAGCATGTTTGGTTTTGACAGTTGTTTTAAAAATACTCAAAACATCTTTTAGGTGTTTTGAGTATTATAAAAAATAAAAAATAAAAATATATCGAAATATGTTTTACAAAAACAAAATGAAAAATTAAAATAACAAAACCCGTAATATTTACCTTCCGCAAGAGGCTGCCCAGTGCATGGCAGTCCAGCCATGAACATCTCTGAAATTAATATTTACACCAGCGGCTACAGTCGGTTTTATGGCCCAATCATAACCAAGGGCGGCTGCTAAATGAAGCACACCCTGTCCCTCCTCGTCCAAGACATTCGGACCCTTACCGTCACCCTCCCCTACTTTATGAAGAAGCCAAACACGTAATTTCTGCTTCAATTGTGATACAATATCTTCGTTCTTCATACCAACATGCAAAAAGTCTTCATCGTGCTTGAATAAGTTGATAGTTTCATCATCCACTTCCATAATCAGTGAACAAATAGTACAGTCCGCATGAGATCTCTCGTTGAGGTGGCTGCAAGCAGGGATTGAGTAATCCATGGAATCTAACAACAGCAACTTTTCAAAACGAGACTGCAGTATCGAGTTAGAAAGATCGTCGATCCCTACACTTCGTGACAGATCTTTTTTATACTCGAATTCTCGTATCTCACTACAAGCCACTCTGTTTGAGCAGGTGATATAGAAAGGAACCCTTCCAGACTTGTGGGGTGGAGTATAGCAAGACAAAGTTCCATTTGCCAAAATATTTGCTGCTACTTCAATTTCACCAAACATACATGACCATTTGTATTTTTGCAAATCCTCTTCATTCATCAAAAACTTTCCCTTAACTATTACCTGTTTCAAATGGAAAAAAAAGGCATATCCCATTATATTATTCATTCATACCTGAAAGAAGATTCTACAAGAATATCCAACATTATAAGGGGTAAAAAATTGACCCAAAATGCTAACTCGATTTGAATCCAAGTTCAGGTTGACTCGAATAATTTTTGGGATGGGTTCATGTTAAGATTCCTAACGTGATTAATTTTTTAGGTTGGTTTCAGGTTGACCAATATGACCAATATACATGATTAACTTTTTGGGTTGGGTTCAAGTTAGGAATCCAAACCTTTTTTTTTTTTTTTTTTTTTTGGGGTTTTTTTTTGATCGGGTTCAGGGTTGACCCGCCAATCCGAAATTGAGCGTTCACCCAAAATTGACTCAAGATTGACAGAAAATCGACCTAAATAATTATTATGCCTCGTGTTAAAAAAAGTTATATGGGTTCTGGTCCAGCTTGGAACTTTTGACTCATTTAATATTCGGGCCGGGTCACACCGGAACCCAACTCGTGAACTTGATTTGACATCCCTATCCAATGAAATCCTTAAATAGTTCACATAAAACTTGATGGGTGGTTTACATACCTTAGTGACGAGATCCGTGTAGGCCCAATTTGGAGAGAAATCAATTATGCTAAAAAGCTGCTCCTGTGATAGCAACGGACCCATCAAATAGGTATCCGACTGTTCTTGGTTCAACAAGTTAGACTCTGCAACAACACTTTCGCTCTCGAGCGAACTCCAATATATTCCAGAATTTGAATTAATCTGTGAGTCATCCACTTCTCCGAGTTCTTTGCTCATCCATCTGGAGAAGCTATCATATTTTTTCAGTCCTTCATGTTCTTTGTTAGATAGGTCTGACATTTGGTTGACATTTTCTTCTGTAGCTTGGCTATTTTCCACAAGAGAGTCAGACTCATTAGCAGAAAACTGTGAGAAGAAAGAAAAGAAAGAGAAGCAAGTTAAGAACAGTTGTTTCTTAACAAAGTAACCATTCATAAGGATTAAAATTAAGGGGCATTTAACTACATTCCACACAATTCTGATGTATTTACATATCTAACACCTAAACATTCATATTTAAGTGCATACCACTCAAATCTTTAACATTACATCAGAAATATCACCATCACTACATTTCTAAAGGTGAAACACAACCTTTTCATACATAGCTTTATAGCAACATGGTGTTAGAAGTGCAAATATCAAACTTCGGATGTTAGATATGTAAATACAATAAGAGTTGTGTGGTATGCATGTAAATTTCCCTAAAATTAAACTTGGGATAGAAAACATTTAATGACTGATGATTCCTTACAACTGATTGGATGGTACCAAAAAAATATTATGGTGATTTACATACATAGCAGCTCAAACTCTCATATTTACATATTTCACATCTAAACCTTGGTATTTACATAATAAGCACCCAAAAATTTCTAACTCCTCAAAACCAGCACCAGTTACTTTCTTCGTCTTCTTCCTGTGTGTATTCCTCCGCAAGTCATATTTTTGGATCTCCCAGTACAACAAGGAAGAATAGAAATCATATAAAAACAGCTATAATTTATCAAAACTTTAGAGCAAAGCTCTCAATTTGACAAATGGTGGGAAAGCAATGCAATTAAATCACACAAAACCAAGTAGAGATGGAGTCTTGATAGGTTCAGACAACAGAAAGGGAAGGAAAAGATTTGATTAGAGAGTTCATAGATTTTATTACTGAATTGCAGAAGAAACCGAGAAAAAACGATCAAAGTAAGCTGTCATCATTCTTCCGATTTTTCAAACGAAAGATTTTCTTGTTGACAATAAATCAGCCTCATATTTAATTAGGAAGAGTTTGTTTGATGAATGAAATGATATTTGAGTTATTACTTTCAAACTTTTGAAACAAAAGAATTTTAAATTCTGCTGGTTTGAGTTCTGAAAAAATTGGTTTATACAATTACTCGATGAACTTGAAAGAAACACAGAAAGATGATGAAAAAGGGAAATCCACGTAAAAAGATGATGGAGCTGAGAAGGGAGTTATCCGAGGTGCTGGTTTTGAGGATTTAAAAAGTTTAGAGTGCTTATTATGTAAATAGAAAAATTTAAGTGTGAAAAATGTAAATATCAGAAGTTTGGAGTGCTAAGTATATAAATCCCCCCAAAAATTATTGCGGTATAAGTTCTGGGGGATTCATGAAATAGATTGTAAATTGAAAAAGAGATCGCGGGGGATGAGAGTACAAAGAGTAATCAAGAAATAAAAAAGTATTTAAAACGTGGGAAGAAATCAAATGCTAGTAAAACTTAAAATATAAAAAAAGCTATAAATCTTGCAACGTAAAGCGAAACTGATAAAGTTTGATAATTTCTATAATACGCTTAGTACAAAATAAAGAGAAAATTAGATATATAGAATACCAAAGATAAGAGAAAAAAGATTTAGAAATCATGATCAAATTAGATGCATTAAAAGTGATGTTAATAGAGACTTGGTGACATATAAAGACATCACAAAAAGATGAAAATATTACTTTAACAAATTATTAAATGAGATATTTAATTAAGAAATTATTTTGAAAGAACCCAACAAAAAAAATATAATAAACTCTATCATAAAGTAATCCAAAAAGGTGAAGCGAGCAAAGCTCTTAAAAAGATTCATGAAGGAAAAGCCCTAAATTCAAATGAGATACCTATTAAAATATGGAGAGCTATGGGTATATTATAGTGATTTAGCAAACAAAAATTTAAATAAACTTTTGAATGCTAATAGGTAGGAAAATTATTGAAGATGCATTTTGTCGCAAACATCTAAGAACAAAGGCAATGTTCAATATTGTGCTAATTATGAAGGGATAAAAGTTAAAAATCAAACAATGAAGCCAACAAAGTAAGTATCAGAACATAAGCTTCAAAAATTTACATCAATTTTGCACATCTAATTTGATTTCATGCTAGAAATATAACAATATAAGCAATTAAATCTAAAGATAATTATATGAGCAGTATAGAGAACAAACAAATGATCTTTATGTAATTTTTATTAACCTTGAAAGAGGATGCAATGAAAAAGTGTGATATCTTAGTGATAAATTATCAAAAAGTGGAAGTTCTAATGAAAGTTCGTCAAATCCTCGAAAAGGAGAAGGACATCCAATCTTACCTATTACATTACTAACAAAGCAAATAAACTAAAACACCAAATCAACCCATGATTTCAATTTATTATAAGGGTATTCATTGAGCAACAATGCATATCATACATCAAGTGATGATTTAAATGCATATGCCTCTACTTTTGAAAATTGACTTTTCATAATATTGATTTTTCATCTTCTATAGTTCATAAATTAAAAAAGATATTTTGACTTCTTTAAACATTAAAGGGCTGAATTTAAAAGCCTTCATGGTGATAGAGGTGCAAAACTAGCCTTCAAAAGGTGTGAACTTGATAACAATTAAATTAGGGTTTAAGGTTTTAATGGAAAGGCTAAAGCGTGCTTTAAATGTTAATTTCTGTTGTAAAATGGAGTTCTTGACTGAAGTGGAGGAGCTCGTAGACATTGACTTAAGAAAACAAGAATTTAGGAAAGCGAAGAGAAAGGGCCCTCAGAGCTTCAAAATGGAGTCAACTCCTTGCATGGGGAGTCTGGCTTTGGGATGAAGTTAAGGGATGTAAATTCAAATTTTAAAATTTATATTCGCCACAACTTTTCACTTGACATATTTAAACAAGTATTCTTAGATAAATTTACATATATGCCACAAATTCTTATGTATTTGCATATCCAACACCTAATTTTTAATATTTATGTTTATAACATTTGTCATAAACATATGCCTAAAAAAATGTATTTCACTTTCAAAAAGTGAGTAATTGTGATACTTTTGATGTAATGGTAATTATTTGATTGCTATGTATGTAACTTTCTTCAACTTGGACTATAACTTGTGAAAATCTCGATGATGTTCTAAATCGTATGTTAGCATGAGTTATATTGCATCACTTAGTGAATGTTTTCTACATGTAGATGATATAATTTAAATGGTGAAATATATACTCAAATAAATAATAAATTAGAACAATAGGGAAAATGCTTAGAAGATGGATGCCTTATTGTAGTTTAACCATATAATATAATTTTGTTGACATGATATTAAAATATCATTATTCAATATTATTTAAAGATAAGTTAATACCAAAGTGTGATAGATTTAAGTAATGCAGATCTACTTGTAAGAAAAGGAAAATAATGAGAATGGAACTTCTACACTTAAGGTTCTATAAAGAGTTTTGTGTGAAACAATGATAACATGAAGGCTTAAAAAGATAAATTTTATTAAAAATATATTTCGGTCAACCGTATTGTATGGATCCAAGTATTGGGCACTGGAAAATTGTTTCATATTAAATCTCAGTATGTCAAAAATGAGAATTTTATAATAAATTTGTGCCAAAACTAGAGGATAGAATGAAGAGTTAATGGAAATGGAGTGGAATAAATTAGAGATACTGTGATTGAAAAGAGACTTGAATGGTTTGAACATGTGCAACAGGCTGTACACAAAATATGTCTATTAAATGAGCTGATAAAATTGATAATGATTAAAAAGAAAAAAAGTTTTTAAGTAAAATTATATGAATAGAAGTTATTCAAAATGATTTGTAAATAATAAGATTTAACACCTCAGATTACACTCAACATGATGCCACTCATCAAGCAGATTAAAGGCATTTATGAAAGAATATTTGTTCGCTTCAAACAAAGAGCAAAATAGAATTAAATACAATAAACTATAATCCACCAAGAAAAAGATTAATGCAAATAGAAAGAAAAAACGTGCACAATGGAATTAAATACAATAAGGAAACAGAAAGAAATCACAAAGGAAAATTTCACTTCAAAACATTAATAAAAATTCTTTTTTGCAAAAATGAACTTGTCGATTTATTTAATGAAAACAAGCCCAAAAATTTTGGTTCCATGTTGGCGACGAGAATGAAGCAGATTTAATACAATAATGCTCGCACCGTTTGGGTCATTCAGAAAACTGAAGCTAACAGTAATGACCATTCAGTAATTCTTCAGAATGTACCAAATTCCACAAAAGATCTAATATATTGTAAAAAAAACAAAATCAGTTTTGTTCGGAAACAGATACCAAGCTGACTGTGGGCTACAAAAAGAACATGAAAAAAGCCTTCAAAAGTCAAGCTCGGAATTGTGTTGGTAAATTTAGGCAGCCAAAAGTTAGACATTTGACCATAACAAAAGAATTCTTTCAAAAACAGGAAGTGTGGGTCAGTAGAACTTGAAATAGCACGTATGTGGTTCTAACAGTAGCCCATCGCTAAAATTAAGCAGAAACCTCACAATTGCATCACAAAATTAATAACATAAACATGTTGCAGTAATTGCAGCACCCATCATCTATCCTATTCAGTAAGATTGGTGCAGCAACACATGTAAAAAATATTAAAATTGAAAGATTAAAATTGAAAAAATCAGCTTTATTCGTCATCAACAACGTTTCTATCAAAAACAAAATTTAATATAAAAAATAAGTATCATCACCTCATTTGTTGTGACTTCCACATTTTTATCTTTTTTAGCACTTAATTCTATGGAATAAATAAGCCATAGATAACCCTGCTATACTTGTGGCATGTTTGCCTATCCTAGAATATCCTTCTTAGCATTTTATAAACAATCAACTATTTAACTAACACTCTAAAACAATCACCTCGTCTTTAAACACGAAAAATTACATCAAATTTATTACAACAAAAAAAAGAAATACTTTGACTTTCATGTTCACCACCAAATATATGGCCTCACAAAAAGCTACAAGGAAACTATCCTTCAACCCCTCTAACGATTTCAAGGCTATTCCTATTCAGCAAGTTTGGTCCAGTAATTGCAGCACCTCATCATCTATCCTATTCAGAAGGGTTGGTGCAGCAACACATGTAATAAATATTACAATTGAAAGATTAGAATTTAAAAAAAAAACAGCTTTATAGTTCTTCATCAACGACGTTTCTATCAAAAGCAAAATCTAATATTAAAAAAATATTATCACCTCATTTGTTGTGACTTCCATATTTTATCTCTTTTTGCACTTAATTCTATGGAATAAAAAATAAACCATAGATAACCCTGCCATGGTTGTAGCACGTTTGTCTATCCTACCATATCCTTCTTAGCATTTTAGAAACAATTAACTAGGAAACTAACACTCTAAAATAATCACCACGTCTCTAAACACAAAAAAACCACATCAAATCCATTACAAACATAAAAAGACAGTTCGACTTTCATGTTCACCACCACATACATGCCCTCGTACAGTAAGCTCCAAGGAAATTATCCTTCAACCCCTCTCTAACAATTTCACAGCTTATCAGGAAGTCCACCGTCATACAATCCAAATAAATTTTCATACAATCCAATAAAATTTAAGTGAAATAAAATAGCATTTACAAAATAAGAAGGATATGGCACAAATCTGAGGAGAATGGTACTGATCCTTTATGCCCTCTACAGCCTGGCATTGTGGCACTTAAAGCCTTTCCGTTGTTTATCACCTTACACATAGCATTATTCTTCTTCATTTCATTGTTTTCATAAAACCACTTATGGGACGGTGGTTTATAATATAATTGCATATCTGAAATAAAAATTCATTCTTTTCACCCTGCCAGATCAACCCCACCGATTCTGCAAGCATTTAAATGTCTCCAAATTATGCAAATATTGACATCCACAGGCAAATATTGAAATCCTGACCCGTAATGAGGATTTGTCCGATTGCTTTGCCACTTGGTATTAATCTTAAATGCCGGTAGACAAGCCTTGCTGGTCTCAAACACTATGAGCTACCAAGATACTTTACTAATCAATTACTTTTTTTAAGATTTGATTCAGGTTAAATTCATCAGGTTAATGAAATTATCAATCATTGTAAGATGTTCCAAGATATGCAATAAATCTATCAAAATGTGATTTATATACATATAATACAGTGAGATGACATAAAGAACTCGAACTTGCAGGCAAACTTGTTGGAAATTGTCATTTTAACTAACATGAAATTATAATTTGTTGTGTTTTTAACCATATTTTCTGGTAAGATACGCCAAATCAAATGTATACCTGCCACATTATGTTGCTTGCTAATGCCGTGCCATCCTCCTTATGAGTTCCGAAGTCACCTGCCAAAAAATCCTGAATCATAAAAGAATTTCGTTCAAGATTATCCTCGAAAGTAGCAGCCCATGAGGACGGAACAGATAAATCATAAGGTGTCTGGAACCCAGCGGGACAACTTTCCATCATATCATGCCAAGATGCAATATCGGTCTTCGTATTCGATCTAGTAAATGTTAATCCTACGTCAGAGGGATTCTCAATTTTGGTCATACTATCTCGAGCAATGGTGAAAGAATCCAAATTAGGAATTGCAGCCTGTGGTCTCTGATGGTCACCTTGAAGATTTAATGCACATTAGTTAGCAATAAATCTATCTAGGTCCTAATAAAAATACTAAGGGAAATTTACATAAATAGCACACAATTCTTATATATTTACATATCTCGCAACAAAACTTTCATATTTACGTACAAAACACTTTGGTGATTTAAACCTATACATGAAAAGGTGTATTTCACTTTTAAAAAGTGGTAATATTGCTATTTTTATGTGATATTAAAGATTTGAGAGCAGTGTAAATATGAAAGTTTAGGTGTGATAAATGTAAATACATAACAATTGTGTGCTATGTCGGTAAATGCCCCAAATAAGACATAGTAAGTTGCCATCTTACATTGGTCATGTCGTGTTGGAGCTGGCACACGAGTATCTGAAAGTTGAACATTCATCCAAGATCCATACTGCTGCACCTCAGGGACAGAGTGGTATCTGGTGCTTGATTGGTAATTATCTGCTGCATCGAATTTTGCTTTAGATACACTGGAAGAAGGATGCATGATTGAAATATGAATCAGTTATTTATATTTTTACAAATGTAGCAATACAGACGGGAAGAGGGAACTCAAGAAGTACCTGAATCAGCATCCTCATATTCTGATTGATGTGTGCTATTAGGGCTTCCATAATCTGAAATTTGTGAAGGAACTTGGCTTAGATTAACAGAGGAATTAGAACATGCAGGGCTATCAGGATTTGAGTTCCTAATAGATTCCCCATCCTCTCTTTGCTGAAGATAGCTTGCTTTGCCACCCTGAGAAAGAGAACCAAACTTTTGAATTAAATGCATGAGGTTATATTATTCGTTGACCATAAGAATCTTTTCTATCGCTGAAAAAAATGAACAGGAAACAAAACATGCTTAAACTAATCCCAAAAAGGACACAGCTTGCATAAGATGGCGCAGAGGATAGATTCCGTGAAACCAATTGATTGAGATGAAAGCAAAATAAGCTATTTATATTCAATATTGTAAATTCATTAGGCACCCTTAAGATGGCACGATCGCCTGCCGAAAAAAGTATAGGCACTAGAACTGCGCTTAAAAAATTCACATATTTTAACTAAGAGGATTATTTTTGAAGAGTATAATATGATTAAAAAAATAAATATTAAAGCATACAACAACAACAACAACAATAACAAAGCCTTAATCCCACTACGTGGGGTCGGCTACATGAATCTTTTTTCTCCATTGCGTCCTATTTAGTGTCATATTTTCATTTAGTTTTAGTAAATTAAGATCATTTTTAATACAATAAGCCCAAGCCTTCCTAGGTCTACCTCTGTCTTTCTTAACACAAGTCAAATCTAAAACATCTACTCTCCTAATCGGATCATCAGATGGTCGACGTTTAATGTGACCAAACCGTCTAAGACGACTTTCTCTAATTTTGTCTATCACAGGAGCTACACCAACCCTATCACGAATATATTCATTCCGCATTTTGTCTCTAAGTGTAAAGCCACTCATCCACCTAATCATTCTCATCTCGGCAACACTTAACTTATTATTATGCTTCTCTTTTAAAGGCCAACATTCAGCACCATAGAGCATTGCAGGTCTCACCACCGTCTTATAAAATTTTCCTTTCAGTCTTAGCGGTATTTTTCTATCACACAAAAGGCCCGAAGCATTCCTCCACTTCAACCAACCAACTTGAATTCTGCCATTAACATCCCCATTTATATCACCATCGCTTTGAACAACGAACCCAAAATATCTAAATCGTTCACACCTTTTAATAATTTGATTACCCAAAGTCACACTTCTATCACTAGAGCTATTACTACTAAAATTACATTGAATGTATTCAATTTTAGTTCTACTTAAACGAAGGCCTTTAGACTCCAATGTAGACCTCCATAATTCAATTTTTCCTGGGCTTTTTCTCTCGTTTTATCCACATCATCAGCAAAAAGCATACATCAAGGTACATCCTCCTGTAGATGTCCAGTAACTAAAGCCAAAAGATATGGGCTTAAAGCCGATCCCTGATGTAATCCAACAGAAATAGGAAAATATTTTGTAAATACTCCTTCAGCTTGAACACAAGTAACAGCTCTAGTATACATATCTTTAATGACTTGAATATAAGCCATATAAACACATTTCTTCTCGAGAACTCTCCAAAGGATATCTCTTGCAACCTTATTGTAAGCTTTTTCTAAATCAATAATATATATATATATATATATATATATATATATATATATATATTTTCAAGCTATGCGTCATTCTAAATACAAAAAAACAAAACCTTATCAAATAATTATTTTTAAAAAAGTGCCCACAAGACATATAACTTGCTTTAAATGTAAACAAACAAATTAAATACCAAGTAGGTATTTTTCATAGTTGATTAATATAATTTTACCTACTATCAAATCATCTCCTTTGCACCCATTCTCTTCCCCATCATTAGCTTTGTAGCCCTCGATCTCATATTATGGTTGACCATGCTTTAAAACGTGATTACAAAAATTTGTATCATAAGGCGAGTGCATGAGGGAGGGTCTAAACCCTTACACGAAAGCGCTCGCCTAGGCAATGCCAAAGTGATCAATGTCTGTCAAAATTGTGAAGTATTTTCCTGAATTTTCATACAGAATTTCCACTATTTATATCATAATTATGCTTTTCCAAGTGTTTTTTATTTTATTTGCAAGTACATGGCTTAAAAGAAGCTCGATAGCATTTGAACCCCAAAATCAAGACCAGCCTACAACAATTTTTGGCGTATGCACACAAATATTGGCTTAACTACGCCAATAGTGACTTAGGAACGTCCGCACAAGAATATTGGCGCCACTTTAAGAGGCACTGGCGTATTTACTATTTACGCCACTTATGGTGTGGTTACGACATTAAGCAAGTGCACCACCTTATTCGTGTAGGCACGTCATTTCTGCTGCCTCCCATGAATGGCACATACAAAGAGTAAATATTTATGCTGCTTCAGAAAAAACTTGTGCCTGCACCAGGACGCATGATAAATAAAGCCAAAGCAACTTCAATGCTTCAGGAATAACTTCTGTACCGACTAATGATTCCAGGAGTTAGGACGGTTCGTGTTGATGTGGCATCATCGTGTGGCAATTCGTGGCTACAAAATAAGTAATTTCAAATGATTGAGGATTTTTCTCCTCTAGAAATTTTTAATGCTAAACTCTTCGAGTGACACCGAGAAGAGAAAATAGAGACCGGAGGAAGTCGTCAAAGAATTATCGTAGTCACGATTCACCGGACAGATCCTTGGAAGAGTGCGAGAGTTTTTTAGGGTTCTCCCGAGAGAGAAAAAATGTTTGTGTAATTAATATATTCAAAGTGGGCGGAAATTCATAAATTATGTTGTAACTTCGTGCAATTCAATAAACAACATCGGTGAGATCGTCATACCATTATTTACTTTAATTCTTACAATGAAACTTGTGTTATTTTCATCTGTAATGAGTAGTGCTTAAACTTTCTCTCTTAAATTGGATTCTATGCAAATTAATAACATTTTTGTAATGTGATTGTGTGTGATTTAGATTTTAGGTTGATAGTTCAACCTTCTGCATGAAATTTACTCCAAAATTGATTGCTTAGGATGTTAAAAATGGTTGTGATCTAGTACTAAGGAAGCAGGTTAGTAAAAAAAATAAGATAACCTAAACTACGCTAAGAGAATAGAAATATTGCTATTAAGATGGTGCAATCTTGTAGGAAAAATTTGCAAACATTGAGTTTTTGTATAGTTTTGAAACTAACTGTAATGTGAAAACTCAATTTTCTTATGACCACCGAGAGGGGCTAAAAAACTAATTGTTTCTGATTGTCAACTTCATTAGAATCACTTAGATATATCTGGTTTGCATAAGACCAATTCAATGGAGGCTTTAATATCACTTGTTCCAACTCAAAACTAGTTATAGGTTTTACTTTTTACAAAAATAAAACTTTAAAATCACAAAATTATAAACATTTATGTTGGACTCAAAATTAGTATACTAGAATTTTTCCAAACTTTAGAAGTTCACTCGTTCCACGTGAGATCGATAAACAGACTCAGATTCGTATACTACTTAGTCGACATGTATACTATTGTAGATCATCAGTGCTTCATAATATTTCAATCGTATCAAGTTTTTAACATCATTGCTAGAGAACAACATTGAATTTCCAATTTTAGAGAGATTTTAGTTGAACCGTTACGATTTAGAATTAAACATTGTTGCGTTGTATTCTTTTTTCTGTATTTTACTCGTTATTTTTTGTGTTAGAAAACCAAAAAAAATTGTTTTGTCATTCATGTTAGTTTTAGGTTTGTAAGCGTAAGACTAGACAAACTTAACTCATGCCTTACAATCCTAAATTCAAGAGAACATTTAAAAATCAAAACACTCTAAAAATGAATTTTTGAGAGATAACAAACCTTCTACAAGAAAATATCATGTCAAGGCCACTTGGAAAATTTGTCAACAACATGGTAGATGAAATTAATAAGAGTATCAACAATCATATAATTCATGCCAACACTTTTGAACTCAAATCTGCTATAATTTAGATGGTCCAAAATAATAAATTCGGAGGCTCACTAATCTCCATATAGCTTATTTCTTAGAGTTATGTGCAACTTTTAGATATAACAATGTGTCAGACGACGTTGGTGGATTTAGGTTGTTTCCATTCTCTCTTACGGATAAAGTTAAGGTTTGCTTGAATTCTTTGGCCTCGGGATTTTCAACAACTTAGACTAACATTGCTAAAAAATTCCTAGCAAAGTATTTCCTACCTGCAAAAACTATCAAACTTATGAATGATATCACATCTTTCACTCAGTTAGAGGTTGAATCCATTTATGAGGCCTTGAAGAGGTTTAAAAAGATGCTTATGAAGTATCCACAACACTCCTTATCGCATTGACTTATAATTCAGACCTTTTATAATGGGTTGGTGGGTTCGTTAAAGTCAATAATAGATGCTGCAACTGGGGGTCACTTTTGGGGAGGTTTATTCACTAATCAAGGCGATGACTAAGAATAATTTCCAATGGCCTTTAGATAGAGTTAATTCTAAGAAGGTAACTAGCATGCATGACATAGATGTGTTAACAATCCTAACCTCGCCAATGACTATTATATCTAAATAATTAGATAAGCTAGATAGATAGAGTTAATTCTAAGAAGGTAACTAGCGTGCATGACATAGATGTGTTAACAATCCTAACCTCACAAATGACTATTATATCTAAATAATTAGATAAGCTAGACTTTAATTCAGTGCAAGGATCACTACCAACTAATGAAATAGTCTAACATCAGTAGAAGATTCTTGCACTAATTCTTTAGAAACCTTAAACGTAAGGTTTAATTGCATGTATTTTAACATCTACAACCCAAGTTGAAAAAAACACTAAAATTTTAATTAAAAAACGAATAACCAAGGTATGGTAACCTAACAGTGGGGTAATAGTCAACTCAATCTTGTAGGTACCTAGAACAACTAAGACAGTGGCCATCCTAGACTTACCTACCCACATGGATTCACTTCTAATCCCCAATCTAAAATTAAAAAAAAAAAATCTTTGGAAGTAGTATTAAACAAGAGGAATCAAATACAAAGTAATGTTGCAACAATTAGGAAGATCGAAACAGAACTTGGGCAAATAGCTAACTCATTGAGTCAAAAGATTCGAAGGTATGCTAACTAGCAATACAAAAGTAAATTCAAAGGACCAAAATGTGAAGCACTACAATATCATAAGGCATGGAAGTGAAAAGGTGTTTGAAAAGCCTAGAGTGGAAAAGCCTAAAATAGAGGAGCCCAAGTTTGAGCCTGATCGACCTGGAGAAAAAATTTACCTCAAACTAAAGAAAAATACATTCACCTCCTCAAATAGAACAAGAGAGAAGGCCACCACCTTTTCCTTTGAGGATGATTAAGCAGAAATTTTACCAACTATTCTCTGAAATTTGAGAAATATTTAAGAAACTCATTATTAATATTTTGTTTGTTAAAGCACTTAAACAAATACCTAGTTACAGGAAACTTATGAGGGAGTGGGAGTATTTGAAAAAGAAAAACAATTTTTTTTAATTTTTAAACTGTAAAGTTAACTAAAAATTGTAGTGATATAATTCAAAGAAAACTCCTAAAAAAATTGAAAAATCATGATAGTTCAACAGGAAACTTATGAGGGAGTTTTTTTAATGTTATTTGCATGCTAGAGGGCATAAAAGAAGTTCAGTAGCATTTGTATGCCCTAAAATCAAGACCAGCGTAGCTACACCATTTTCTACTGTATGTACAACACTTTTGGCATAGCTGCGCCTAGTGGTGTAGGTACGCCCACACCAGAATATTGGCACCACTTTAAGAGGCGTAGGTGTGCTGCCTCAATGGCGTGGGTACGTCGTTTTTTATTGCTCTCATGCATGACACATACAAAGAGTACAGAACCTTTGCGCCACTTCAGAGAAATCTTGCGTCTTCTCCAGGACACGTGACAAACAGAGCCAAGGAAAATTTGGCGCTGTAGGGAAGAGCTTCGACGCCAGTTAACCGTTTTGGGAGTTAGGACGGTTCATGTTATTGCGATATCATTGCAGGGCAATCAGTGACTACAAAATAAGTAATTTCAAATGAAGGAGAGTTCTCCACAAATTTTCAATGTTTGACCCTTCTGGTGACAAAGAGGAAGAAGAAAGAAATTGGAGGGAGTCGCTGGAGAATTATTGCAGTCTTCACACTTTGCTAGGGGGAACCTTAGAAGAGTGTGAAAGTTTGTGAAAGTTATCCCAAGAGTGAATAAGTGTTTGTGTGTATATTGCATGCAAAGTGAATAAAAATTCATAAATTGTGTTGTAAATTTGTGTAATTCAATGAAGAACATCGGTGAGATCGTTTTAACTTTATTTATTTTGATTTTTGCAATGAAATTTGTGTTATTTTCATCTATAATGAGAATTACTTAAATGTTTCTCTCTGTTGAGTCGGATTGCTTGCAAATTAGTATCATTTTCGTTATGTGATTGTGTATAATTTCATGTTTAAGTCGATTGTTTAGCCTTCTGCTTGTAATCTACTCCTAAATTGATTACTTAGTGTGATTGTGTATAATTTCATGTTTAAGTCTTCTGCTTGTAATCTACTCCTAAATTGATTACTTAAGATGTTAAAATGGTTGTGATCTAGTACTACAAGAGTATGCTAGTTGAACAAATATGTGAACCTACACTATTCTAAGAGAATAATAATATTGTTGCTAGGATGGTGCAATCGTATAGAGAAATTTACAAACACTAGGAGTATTGTATGGTTACGGGACTAATTGTATTGTAAACCTCCAACTTTCTTATGACCACGGGAAGGGGCTAAAGAAAACTTTTGTTCCTGATTGTCAACTTCATTATCACTTGGATAGATCTGGTTTGCATAAAACCAATTCAAGGGAGGTTTCTCTATCACTTGTTCAAACTCATAACTAGTTACAGATTTTACTTTTTCAAAAATTAAAATTAAAAATTTTAAAATTACCAAATTTTGAACCTTCATGCTAGCTCAAAACCAGTAAACTAGAACTTTTAAAGATTCTGGGAGTTCACTCATCCCTCATGGGATCGATACACGGACTTAATTTTGTATGCTAATTTATCGACACGGATACTTGCATGTATCGTCGATGCTTCATAGTATTTAGGCCGTATCAGTGACGGTGCTCACTTGTGAGATATTTAGTTGTTGCCTTCTTACCTCATCTGGGTACCTAGTCTCTCCTAATATAACAATAATACATAATCAAATAATTAAACAAAAGAAGAGATAACTATATTAAGTTAATGAATCTTTATATGAAAGAAAAATATGAAATCATTCAAACATGACAAAGGGCATAGGTTGCCATAGTAGGCCCTACCTACAACAATTTGAAAAGCTAAACTATGTCATTTAAATTTATGAAAGCAGTCTACAATTTTTATGACTAGATGCATTTTCTAGAAAAGAACTATATAAAAGTAAAATATGCCTATAAGGCCAACAATAAACAGAGCTTGTACGTCAACATCTACTTTCACTTATCAACCTCCAAGTACATTCAATATCCTAACCATTCTAGGTGTCTTCATTATGAAATTTATTCGATCCATCAAAATACTTTTTAAGTTTTTTCTTATGCACCAATGTCTGTCATTTCAATTCCCCGCAGCCCTATTAATTTAATGAGTTAAAAACACTGGCAGAAATAAAAAATAAAGATGAGTATACTGGTAATCCAACAAGGTATTTTTGAATATGACAAACATGATATCACTCATAGTATCTCTTTGCTCAATGGTCAAACAAAATAAAGCGCTCACTCGTGACATTTGCTCAATGGTTATTAACAAAGTATCGTTGTGCCACAGAATGTCAATTTCTTACAACCAGCTATAGGATACAGAAAAGCACAAAATCATCTAGCAGAGATACAGCACATTTAAGAAAATATTACCAGATAAACGTTCAGTTCTATATAAAGAACCTGAGCAGTTATTTTCAAAAAAAAAACCTGAGCAGCAACAAGGAACATTATTTTCAAAAAAAAAACCTGAGAAACCTGAGCAGCAACAAGGAACAATACATACAACTTTATGTCAACATATTACAATGAAAACTAATTCAATGACAATTATATTTATGTTTCACAATCACAGGCATATGGTTAAGAAGAGAAAGCAGCTACCTTCAGTACATTGGTTAACTTTCATAAAGCATACGATTCATACAAACAAAACAAACAAATTGATTTTAAAGCAAAAATTTTGAATAAAAGGAAAAAAATGATTGTGAAATTAAAAACCTTAACTTCACGGTAGTGAACAAGGACAATGTGCATTAATTCCCTGCAAAAAAAAATAAAAACGAATTTACTAATAATTCTAAAATAAGACCAAATCTGAAATTTTGGAAAGTACAAGTGACCTTATGATTGCGGGCACAGAGAGTTTTAGACATTTTGATCAAGCCAATAGAAGAAAATCAGATTACACAACACTTTTTTGCAAAACCTAAATGAATGCTGCCAACAGAATATATAGCTAGAAAGCTTCAAACATTAAGTGAAGCCGGTTTTAACTAAGTGAAAACCATAAAACATTCCAAATTACGCAAATATTTATAGAGGAAGATGATTAACAAACCCAACACCAAATATTTAGAAAAGACTAATCATAATGAAGACAGATTTCAAATGTTGGGATATAAAACTAAGGCTAAAATGCAGAAGGCTCAAACTACAAATTTATTTCAAACAAAAGCTGTAGGAAAGTGAAACAACTTATAATACAAAATCTAAAATTTTTCATTTTTGTTTTAAATTGTCTCCATATCCAATTTTTCTATCTCTAAATTGTCGTTTTCATATAACATGCCTACTATGATGGTTCCCATAAGAAAGAGAAATATTCTCTTGTATGTTTTACTGTTGACTATTTTGTTAGATTTGAAACATAAAAATGTATTCACACTAAAGATTTCAAAGAAGTTATTGATTTTAGTTTTTTTTTTTTATTTAAGTCCTTAGGAATATAAAATTCAGTCTATGATTGAATAAAATTATTAATTTCCTCTTAATACTTGTGTATATTGTTGATGTAGATTCTTCAAGTACTTTACAAGTCTTCAGAAATGCTTTTAGTTAAATAGGTCACTTCTATTCATTGCTTTTTCATGTGAACTATTTTGTGAATGATTTATGTATGTGTTTAAGATCCTGTCAAGTTTATTATACACTGTTTTTAATTCATGTGGGAATCATAATCATTATGGAATTTTATATTTATTTTTTTATATCTTGTGGAATTTCAGATTTTGGAAACTTGTATATTATCATTTGGAATGAATAAAGTGAATTTTTTTTAGTTTGGAGACTAATCTTTGCCTAAATTAAAAACAGGAAAAAAAATACTGCCAATAAGCATGCAACATTTTCTTCCTAAAAATTTCAAAGTTCTAGTGACCAGATCCTGCCAAAAGAAACAATATACTTGTAATTTCCTCTCAATACTTATGTATATCGTTGATGTAGATTTTTCAAGTACTTTACAAGTCTTCATAAAAACTTTCAGTTAAATAGGTCACTTCTATTCATTGCTCTTTCATATGAACTATTTTGTGAATGATTTGTGTACGTGTTTAAGATCCTGTAAACTTTATTATGCACTTTTTTTCATTCATGTTGGAATCATAATCATTATAAAATTTTATATTCATTCTTTGATATCTTGTGGAATTTAAGATTTTAGAAACCTCTATATTATCATTTGGAATGACTAAACTGAAGTTTTTTAGTTTGGCATTAAAGGAGACTAATCTTTGCCTAAATTAAAAACAGAAAAAAAAACACACTGTCAATAAGCATGCAACATATTTTTCCTTAAAAATTCAAAGATCTAGTGACACCAGATACTGCCCAAAGAAACAATATACAAAACCAACAATATTGGAGCATTGGAAATTCTACAAAAAACTGCTCACTAAGTAGCCATTTAAGATGATTTTTTATCTTTTATTTTTATTTTTATTTTGTGTTGTTTGTGTTTTATTTTGAAATAAAACATAACTGTTAGTTGTGGTTGCTTTTAAAAAAAACATTCAAAACATCTAAATGTTCTTTTGAGTATATTTAATAATCGTTTAATTTGCTTTTAAAATTAAAAACCAAAAGCACTTAAAAATGCACCAAACAAACATGTTCTTAAAAAAAAAAGCAAAAACAAAAAACAAAAATGATCCCGAACAAGTCCTAAGGGTTTAAATGTTGATAAATGGTGTATGATTCCTTTATATAAAGGTATAGTTTAATAATGGTTTAGAATATTCTTTGAAACCAATTGATTTCAACTATTGATGAGGCGCTCCAATTAGTATAATTGGCAAATGACAAAAAAGATTAGAAATTATGCATGGGGGAAAGAAAGTAATGTGACATAAAGTGTGGAAGTAAGGAAAACCAGCTAAAATACAAAATTTTAAAGCTCCAATTATGCACTAGAATCTAATAAATTTTAAAAACTTAAAAAAAATTAGTTGTGAGAGGCATTTGGGAGATTATGTCGTGGTTATGAAGTCAGATTTATGTCAAAAATTCATTAGATTTACCTTAAATCATAGTTCCACATTAGACTCTGGAAGAAAATAACTTCAGCGCAAGAGAAAATATACCATAACCTCAAAACTAACTCCAAAATTTAATGGCCATTATGAGTCACTTAATTTTTTGAAATAGTAGAATAATTTCATAGAAATAATCGACAGAAAACCAAAAGTAAATAGGATCAAAGTATATAGAAGAAACTAGCTCCCATACTCTTCCAACATCCAGTAACTTCTCCTCTGAAAGTTCTCATTGTCTTCGCCATGAGCATAATAGCAATGCAAAACATCTACACTCCCAGCCTGCAATTCAGCAGGTTTCAGCATTTTTAATAATTTTTTACAAGCTAAGAAAAGATAAAACTCATACAGTTTCTACAGAATCTTTCAGTCATGATGAGGAATGGTCCAAGTGCTGAAGACGTACACTACTAACTTTAAAAAAACAAAAAATTTGCTAATAAAATATTGGAAAATTCACATATATACCATACATTATCTAACACCTAAATATTGATATATACATTCAAAACATCTTGGTGTTAAAAAACTTATGAATGAAAAGGTGTATTTAACTTCTAAAGAGTAAGTGTTAGCAGTATTTTTTCATGTGATGTTAAAGACTTGAGTGTTATGTATGTAAATATGAAAGTTCGGGTGTTGGATATGTAAATATATAAGAATTGTGTTGAATGTATGTAAATGCCCCTAAAATATCATGATCAATAACACTGTGGATAAACAATTCAGCAGCTAAAGAAAGTTGACAATTGCCATGAACTGGTTTAACAGTATTGAAATCAAGATGATGAAGAAAAGTTGGAGAAATGGATTAAGTATTCCATGGATATAAAAGCATTGTAAGAAAATTTAAAAAAAAAAACATCGAGGTTAAAAAAAAACCATCTAAAGAACATTTATGTTTAGAAATTGCCAATTTTACATCACCAGCTTATTATCACAAATCATGAGAATCCACTTACTTTTAATTTCTCATGAGCTTCCTTCACTGTCTTTCCATCCTTCTTCTTCCTCCAATTATGTCCATCCTTTCGAAAGTATCTTAAAACCTTTCTATCAAACAGAAAGAGTGAACCGTCTAAAGTAAACATGTACCAAGTTAGTGTCATATGGCAGACAAATGGCAAGTGATGAGTGATAACATAGAGAAGTTTTCAAATTTGTTAAAAGTACAGGTGTCTAATGCTCAAGAAGCAGAAAAAAGTAGTATTAGGATTAGGAATAGTTGGGATTAGGACAGAGAAGCAAATTTTTAATTACATGGATAGAAACTGTTCAAAATGATTTCTAAAAAACGAATTTAACAACTTAAGATTCATCAATAATGACTGAAAAATGATGATTCTGAATCCGACCTCTAAAAGTTAGGATAAAGCAAATGATGAGTTAAGAGATGTGATAAGCTCAAACAATATAAATTGAATACTAAATGTAATTCTCCCTTCAAAATATCTCCTTTCACTAAGCTAATAAAGCAACAGAAGAAACAATAGCTCTAAAATTTCCTCACAATAAGGTTTGCATATTAGAAAATAACATTAAAATTCTACAAAGAAATTAAATATCACCTACATACATGGTAGTTTTGTACAAGGGAGATTTGAAAACTATAGTTATTTATATATCATAAAATTACCTAGCTTGATATGAATACATGAGCATGGTAATTTTTCAAAAGGTTTAAATGGTATCAAATGATTATTAATAACAGTTTAAAAAATAAAATCTAGCAACAGGTACCACCAGGTTGACAGCTACTAACTGAAAGAATCCAATTGAAGTGCTCAAGCAAGAATTTGTAAAAACACATTTTTATCACAAAATAAATAGCTAATTTCTGGCAAATAATATAAAAATTAGCGTGCAAATATTATTTATCTGCTACTAAATAAATGATCACTTCTAATCAGAACTATCTATATCTAATCATTTATACACATTCCCCTAGCAAAATATAATATTCAAAAATCCATTTGTGCATTAGGCAGCAAACTTAACGAGAAATAAATAAAAAAGACAAAACACTAAGGCTGCAAAATTCATTACAAATAAACTATTCTATCATACTTTCCAATAAGCTTTGGTCTATCTGAAACAAAAAAGAACTATGGACCGGAGTATGATTCCATACTAGAAGGTCTATTTGGAGGCTCCGGTGCAATGCGGAATTTATGATAATTTCGTAAAATTTCACAAATTTCTGCAGGGCGTAGCCATCGATGTTGTGCTTCCCGAAGTATTTGCTCAATATCTAAGAAAGTCATTAAACGAAATTCAGTACAAAAGGTCAACAAGAGGGAAACGCAACCAAAAAAAATAATAGGGTAAGAAAGAAAATGTAATAGTTATGCATATTTCACAAAAGGTAGAGAAGAAAATGAAGCTGAGAATGATTGGAGCAAGATACAATTTTCATGATATCAAACTATTCTTTCATTTGGAAAGACACTCTATCATTATTGACATATTATGCAGTAAAAATATGGCATAAGATTAAAAATTATACTGTAACCATATCTAAGAAAATTTCTGATGATGATGATAATAATAAAGAAGACAAGGTTTCAAGAAAATAAAAAGGGAAATTTACCTAAGTGGCACATAATTCATATGTATCTACATATCTCACACCTGAATTTTCATATTTACATAGTACTTTGGTGTTCTAAACGTATGCATGAAAATGTATATTTCACTTTTTCAAAGCAGTAATAGTGTTGTTTTTGATGTGACATAAAAGAATTGAGTGTTGTGGGTAAATAGGATAGTTTATGTGCGATATATGTAAAAACATAAGAATTGTGTAACATGTATGTAAATGCCGCAAAAGAAAAAAAGCGGTGCATGTCATCATCACCAGCACATGTGAAAACATAATATTCAGTAGGCTTTTCCTTCGTTCTCATTCCTTCCAAATATAAACAATTCAATAGTACCACACATTTTTCAGTAAATAGAAGCACCATCTAACCTCAAAAAAGATAAATTATACAATTCTTATTATTTCAAAAGCAAGCCACATCATTTCCATGGCTCGAGATGCTTTTCGGTCCATATACAGTAGATAAAAACACGACTAAATGCATTTGTCATGCAACTAAATCCACCAAAATGAGACCAAAAATTTTCACATTATAGGAAGGCTTGAAAACTAATAATAGATTTTGTTGAATGAATGTTTTTTCCCTGCCTAACTCCCCTAATGAAACCATTCCCCCAACAAAACATTGAGGAACCAGAATAACCATGCATTTTTACAAAATAGACCTGGGACTGACAAGCCAGTAATAATCTGTACCATCATCGAACAAACCCTTCATGTTGATAAAATGACACCAAAAATAAAGATATTAAATATAAATTCTAAGCTTGAATTCTTTCAAACAATCTAAACCCTAGGCAATATAGATAGAACCACGATATAATTCAACTAATCACATACACGTGAGATAAACTGTTCAGAAAACCATGATTAAGAACACTCAATGTCAAATTATTAACTAAAACAAAAAAAAGTTAAGTTGGCGGCTACTTTTCATGACAGAAATCTCCACTAAACCCAATCAACCATGTACACAACCCAATGTGTATAGAAGTAAAATTTTCTTAAAAATGTAAAATTGCGCAGAGAAGATATGTTAAACTCAAAACTATTACACGCACCAATAAGCAACCCAGGGTCCAAAATATTTTCTTCATCTCATCCAATAGCACACCATTAGAGAACGGCGACTCCCGCACTACACTCACGTGAGCTGCGCAGCATCATCATTCCTTACATAACTGTTTGTGTATAATATAAATTCTAAATTTTACATAAATTCCAAAGAAACTCTAGTTATCTCGCCAAATAGAAAGAGCTCAGCAGCACCATCAACCTAGAGACCAGCCCCAAGGACTCCAACCTCATGGCAAGCACTCTGGAGTTCTCTCCATTCGGATCAAGGTCTACACATAAGCTTCTAGCTCATATTGGCTGACATAAACTTGCTGAAAAACAGTCCCAAGGGTTCCAGGTTCATAGTAGAGCTTAGCAGGACTCACCAATTCGCTCAAGGTTAGCAAGGAAGGTTTGGGCTCATACAAGCTTGCTCGCAGCTACAAGATCACCAATGAATTCAAGCACCCCAAAGAAACAACTGCTCAAGCTTCAATAGTCAATCATGAAACCTCCATGCCCAGTGGAGAGAGTACGGCGCCATTTGAGTTAATAAAAGCTCCAAATAACCTTTAATTTCCGTTTATATCAGTGAGTTCCAAGTGCATAGCTTAATTTTTTTTGGTTTGGACTAAATATTAGCACAATAGGGTTAGAACAACCAGGGCATGTAAACCAAGAGAGATCTGCTATTTTACATCCACATCAAAACTGTGTTGAATCCATGCAGAATTCGTTCTCTTGTGCCCACTGATGTCCTTTACCATTTATAGGTAACAAACAACCCTAACACTAACAAATTCCAAAATATCTCTCGCCTCTCCACGCTTGAAAGGAACTGCCACTAAAAACAACAATAAAACCCACAAATTCTTCCACAAACTACCCAGATCCAACTCCTCAAAAAGAAATGAGACAAACTATTAACAAAATCAGGAGTTCCTCACCTAACTGAGGTGTCAACCCCAAACGACGGCCGTCAGCCATGGACCAAGCAGCTTCCTACTCCGCAGCAACAGAGAATCCCCAATCCGATCTCAAAAACCTAACGGACACAGCATCGAAATCCGACCGACAGCTGCAGTAAACGCCAGCCCTTCCACGGACTTCAACCAAGTGAAGGATAAATAGGATAATTTCCGGCTTATGAACCTTCCTGGAAATCGGATCTCGATCAAGAACTTCTGCTAACAAAGATCTGATCCGATCTTGGCCAAAAGAGAGTAACCAGAAAGGGCTGATTGGGCTGATTGGGTAACAAGGGGTGGAGGAGGAGAAGGGGAATGTTGTTAGCTATCGCTGTGCAAATCTTTTTCCCACAAAATTACAAATATTAATTGGAAAACTTCGAAAATGAACAGTGAAGGCAATAATGGCGATAAGGTTGACTCTGGCTCAGTCCCTTGTTCGTTCTAGTGTGCAAACCGCCGGTGAGCGTAACAGAGGCGACTCTACTGCCCTTTTTACTGCGGACTATCTGTTTGTTGGAACGCCGCGCGGAAAGCGACTAGGAATCCAATGCGGCGAAGCAAACAAGTGTCCATGTAACACTATAAATGAATGGTTTTAGAGGTGACACTTCCAAAAAAAAATAATAATAATAATAATATGTGGGGAGTGCTAATGTAAAATCTCAACTG